TGTTTTCTTAGATTTCATAATCTTCATAATCTTTGCTTGAGTGCTTTAGTTTGTCCACTTTATCTTCCAGTCTTGATACTTTGTTTTCCATTTCATTCATCCTATTGGTGAGGCTTTTTCCTGTTGTTTCTAATCAATATTTCTAACTCTTTCCTGAGTTAATTCAGAAGTTTATCCCTATCTTCTTTCAGTTCTTTGATTTCTTTCTTTATGTGTTCTTTAAATTCACTGAATTCTTTTATCATGTTTATAATTGTTCTTTTGAGTTTCATGTCCTGACTTATCTATAGGGGGTTCTCATTGTACTCCTCTAGAGGACTGATGGTAGTTGGTGGGGATATATTATTTTGATTTTTCATGTTATTTTTTCTTTGTGACTTGACATGTGGATTTCTTTTGTCAATTCTGGTTCTCTTGTGAGACTCAAGCCTTCCTTTGGTGAATTTAGGTCTGCTTCTTTTTGTAAACTTTATCTGCCTTTGTGCTTTACTTGTTGGGCTTGAAAATCTGGTTGGTCTAGGCTTCAGGTTCTCTCTTTTGATTTTATTTTGGAGTGGCCACATTGCTTTCATCTTGCTGCTCACGAGTTCCCACCGAGGCCTAGGTCAGGTGAGGATCAGATATTCTCAGGTTTTCTCCTAAGTTCTGGATCCCTCCAGGAGAGATGCTGGCCTCAGGAATTTGAAAGCTGAGGTGGCCTAGGAGCAGGGCCCAGGAAAGATGTTGGAGCACAGGAATGCAAATGGAGTTGGGGGTTAGAAGAGGCCTGAGGGCTTCTGGGGACTACAGGGAGGAATTGGGTTGGTCTGGATGCAAAGGATCAAGAAGCAGTGAGGATTCTAGGCTAAGAGGTCAGTCAGTCCACCGGTCTGGGGTGTCAGGACAAGAGATGGGCCAGTGCCCTTGGTAGGAGGAGAGGTGGGCTGGGGGATGGGAGGGTGAATGAGGCTGGGGGAGTCAGGGCGCTGTGAGCACAACCAAACTTACCCAGGTAAGCTGCTGGCTCCAGGAAGCTGTGGGGCTGGGCTGTCCAGAGATGCAAAGGGAAGTGGGGACTAGAGGGAGGAATTGGTTTGGTCTGGGTGCAGCAGCCAAACTTACCCAGGCAAGCTGCTGGCTCCAGGAATGGCTTTATCTTTAAAAGTAACAATTTTCTTTCTTTTTTTTTTTTTCTTTCTTTTTTTTTCTTTTTCTTTCCTGTCTCTTTGAGACAGAGTCTCCCTGTGACCCCCGCTGTCCTGGAACTCAGTATATAGACTAGGCTGGCCTGGAACTCACAAAGATCCGCCTGCCTGTTCCTCCCAAGTGCTGGGATTAAAGGCGCGAGCCACCATGCCTGGCCTAAAAGTAGCATAATTTTCTATTACATGAATAAATGTGTTATAATTTAACTTAGCCACAGAACTTTTTTTTTTCTTCCTTGTTAGTGATGCTTAGGATGGAACTAAGAGCCTTGTGCACAGTAGGCAAGGGTACCACTGAGTCATACGCTTCATTTATTTTTATTTTACCTGTACGAGTGTTTTACTTGCATGTTTATAAACTGCACATGGATGCACAATGCCCATGGAGGCCAGAATATGTCAGATCCCCTGGAACTGGAGTTATAGATGTTTGTTAGCTGCCATGTGGGTGCTGGAAACTGAACTTTGGTCTTCTGCAAGAGCAGCCAATGCTTTTAACCAGTGAGCCATCTCTCCAGCCCCCTCAGATAGCTCTTAATGAATGATTTTTTTTTTCTGTTGTTAAAAATGATTATCTTTGTCTAGGGATGTGACCTCTCTAGACATATGCATTTGAGTTTGTTTACAATATCACACATGAGTGAGTTTTAAGTCCAATTACATAGCTGTTGATACCCTCAAAATAAAAGTGCTAGTACTGCACTAGTAGAGATAGTTTTCTGTGCCAGTTATTATGGTTTTTAGACTTTACAGCTAGGTTGGACCATTGATGGATTTTCTCCCCAAGCGGCTTGCATAGTATTCATAGTATACTGTGAGAGCTAGTCTTTGGGGAGGAGGCTTCCAGGTCAGTTCGAGTTTCACTGCTCCAAGTCCTGTGTCTGAAATATGTCCTGTCCTCAGCAGTAGGGTCTGGGAAGCAGTCAGGGGCTATGGCAATAGCCTGTGTTATTTTGGAAGTCTCTTAGACTACTCTGACCAGGGAGGTTTTTCTTGTCTGGCAGTGTGTTTCTTGTTATATAACCTTCAGCTGAGCATGTGTACTCATGTACATATGTTGTGTACGTATTTTTCAGTAGACTTTTGAACTAATATATTTTCCTGTTTTTTCATTCTACCTTAGCATTATTTATCTCTCCTCTCCCTGCCCCCCAGTTAAAATGTCCCCATTTTCCCCGTTTCCCCCTTGATAACACATGTCTCCTATTATCCCCTTCTCTTCAATGACTTTTTCCCTTTCACCCCCATGGTTCCTTTCTATTTTCCTGGCTCCTATGGTTACATCAGGATATATACTCACATATGAGGATCTGGGGCTAAGATCTACAAAAGAGGGAGAACATAAAGTTGCTTGTTTTTCTGTTTGTTACTTCATTTAGTTTAACAGTTTCTAGTTTCATTTATTTACCTGCAAATTTCATGATTTCATCTGACTTTACAGCTGAGTAGAACTTCATTATGTAAATGTACCATATTTTCATTATCTACTTGTCAGTTGAGGAACATTTAGGTTGTTTCTTAGTTGTTGTGAAAAGAGCAGCTACAAACATGATTGTACAAGTGTCTCTGCAGTAGGATGAGTCCTCAGGGTGTATGCAAGGAGTGGTATATGGTACCACCAGATCATGTGGCAGATTTATTTTTAAAGAGTTCTCTACACTGCTTTCCACAGTAGTTGCACGAATTTGCAATCCCACCAGCAGTGAATGAGTGTTCCTCTTTCCCCATATTCTTGCTAGCATTTGGTGTCATTTGTTCACTTGAGCTTAGCCATTCTGACAGGGGTAAGAAAAAAATCTTAAAGTGGTTTTGATTTGCATTTCCCTGGGTATCTGATCACTGTTACATGAGGGAGAGTTGGTCTTCTTTAAAAGAGTGATGTTAGATAGGTTGATCAGGCTCCATTGGTTGAACTCATACCAAGGGACATCTGGGGCCACAAACTTGACTCAATAGGTCTTAAAAGTATATATTGTAAAAAAAAAGAATATCTTTGTACATAAATCTCACTATCTTTTTTTTCTTATAAACTTAACTTTATTGAGACATACTCTAGAAAATTAAATATGTATTTTATGTGCATGATTCAGTGGGTTTTGACAGAGTTAAAGACCCATATAATCATCATCACTAAGACAACATTGCTGTCATCACAGATATTTGCTTTTACTTCTTTTTCACTGCTATCTCCAATTCTATGCAATAGCTTCACGTGGACAGTAGAAAGGTTTTCCTGCTGTTTCTCTGTTGAATTGTGTGTGTGGGTGTGTGTATGTGTGTTACATGTATGTATCCATGTATACATATATGTGTGGGTATGCTTGCCCCTCTGTGTAGGCCAGAGGTCTATTTCTGGTATCCTTCTCTGTCCCTTTCCACCTCTATTTACTTTTTTTTTTGAGACAGGACCTCTCACTGAACCTGGAGCTCACTGATTAGGCTAGGCTGACTGGCCAGTGAGTCCTGGGATCTTCCTATCCCGGCCTCCCCGATCTGGAATTATTAGTGCTCTACAGTTCCCTGTTTTTCACTTGGGTACTGGGAATCTGAATTCAGGTCCTCATGCTTGAGTAGCAAGCACTTTAACCCACTGAGCCATTTCCCCAGCTTCTCTTTGATCTTTTACATGGATATAAACCTCAGTGTCTACAGGAAGCAGGTCCTTACTTGCATCAGCATAAAGATAGAAAAGCAGAGCTTCTGAATGGTGGATGTTTCCTTCTCAGTATAAATGACCTGCAGAAAAGCTAGAGAGGGTGGGTGGGAGGATTTGGGTGTCCAGAGAGGAAAGGGCTTAATGGGCCTACTGACTTCTCAACTTTTTTTTCAGTCCTTTTTAAAAAATATATATATTTTGCCAGGCATGGTGGCGCATGCCTTTAATCCCAGCACTGGGGAGGCAGAGGCAGGCAGATCTCTGTGAGTTCAAGGCCAGCCTGGTCTTCAT